CGGTTCGGGAGCCGGGAGCTTCCGTCCCGTCCGCACCTGCCGCCGGCCCTCCTCCCCTTCCCTTCTTCCGTTAGCGTCGCTCTCCAGGGCTGCTGCCTTTGTCCTAACTGGGAGCACCAGACTGCGTATGGGACGTGTTGATTCCCGCAGCACTATATTTTGCTTTAAAGTGGTGTCACCTGTTTAATTTTTAAATTTTCTCCTGGGATTTCATTTCTTTGTGGTCGGTCTTGTCAGCTGGGTTATCTTTGTGATTTAAAGCTTTTGATGCATTCTGAACAGTTGGACGATGAAAGGTGAAAATAAGAATGTCAGACACTAGTACGCACTTAAAATAAGCAAATGTCTCCTTCTTTTCATCGGCAGGATTAGAGTCCGCGAGTGCGGGTCAGCGCAGTCCTACCCAGTCACGCCCTGTGCAGCTTGGGCCGCAGACTTTCCTCCCCAGCTAACTTTGTCCTGCCCTGTTGGGTTGGAGCAGCCTTCTTATCTGCGCTGTGTAGCGCTCGTGCCTAAATGCATTGGTAGTTGGTCTTCACGAAAGGATTCGATGTCGGCAGCAGATCTGATGCACTGATCAGTTAGAATATTTTAATAACGTTCTCGTCGTCTAGGCCGTATCGTATGTGCGGTTTCATACTAATCCATAAATGCATGGATTTTGTGAATTCTGAGCTAAGTAAGGCACCTCTTTTTATTGCCCCAGTAAGTCTAATCTTGTTTTAACTACCCCTTTTTAATGAACTAGTTGGGCAGTCAGTGCAAACTCAAGCCAGTGTCCAGAAACAGAGGTTTAGTCACTGTGAAAAATCAGTGAAATATCTCAAAATTGATGAGAAATACATTTGAAAAGTTTAGAGAACTTTTATTCGGTTTAGCGTCCTTCTTCTATAGATGAGACCCACAGACTTGGACAGGTTAGATCATTTACCCTGGTCAGTCTGCATCAGCACCAAATGTCGTGAACAGGCCTGGTCGGCACAGGGAGGCTCAGAGTGAAGCGTTGCCTCCCCAAGCCCGTGGGTGGTGGGCAGTCTCCTTGGGGCGAAGGAAGCCTGGCACCCGGGGCAGTTGCCTCTCACTTTTGTTCCCCACAGATTTTTCTAAGAGCAGTGCAAGGTAAAACTTGAATTAAACAGTGATGTTAGATGGGAAAAACAAAACAGGTTACCCTCCTCCTTGAAACGTTGCTATGAATGACTGTTTCTGGTTTCCTTCAGACTATGCTGAACTTCGGTTGATGTAATTCAGCATTTATACTGCCCGTGTGAAATCATAGTGCGGCCTTTTAGAGCAAGATGTTTGGGATTGGGCAGTGTATGAGCGCCCCCCCATAGGTGGAAAGTAGTTGACTTCTCTGGCTGGAGTGTGAGGCAAGGAGAGAAAACTCTTAGTTTGGAAACCTTGTTTGCAATTGCAGACTTACTTATAACTGTGTTTTTCTCGGAATTTGTAATATGACAGATTGAAAAGTGAAATCGTAGCTTCATTTTGATCATTAGTTAGACGGATGTAATATTCTGAGTGATCTGAATTACGTGTTACTGACTCAAAATAGGTCTTTAGGTTCAGAGTGTCTTCAAAAAATATATTGTGCATATTTCAGTTTTTCCGTTATTCTCCCCCCCCAAAAAAATCCCTTTTTTCTCTTTTAACATTTTCCACAACTTAAAAAGATTTTACATGCTGTGCTTGGCTCTGGTAAACTATTGTTGGTGTAATCCAGGACAAAGATAGCACTTTCAGACAACTGCAAGTATGTTCTCAATGTGACTTGGTGCTGAAGCTGAGGCAGGGCACGTGTTGAGCTTGGAAGCAGCTGGAGAAACTTGATACTCAGACCGGAGGTTAAGGAGGTTAAATGGGCATTTTAACCATCCATAGTGAAAAACTCTTTTACTGTTCCAATAATAGTGTCTAACACTTCAGCCTCATTGAAAACATCTATCGGGCAGAAATTTGATAAACAGTGTATGTTGAGTGAAGCACTGTAAGGAGAGAAAGAAGTGGAAGGTAGTTGTTTTGCCGGTGGTTTGGGGTTTTTTTTTTTGTTGTTGTTGTTGTTGTTGTTCCATTTCTCAGGACTGCTTGAGAGGGCCTCACTTCCGTCTCTTCCACCTTTCTGTCCTCTTTGCTATTCTCTTCTACTGTTCTCTTAGATCAGCAGAGATGAATCAGGAAGTGGGGAGAAGGAGCACAACCAGAATTTTTCCATGTTTCCTAGCTGTTTGGATAAATTTGAGCAGTTGCGTTTTGACACTCAAGGTTCCTTTGTTGAACAGCAGCAGCCATTACAATATTTTGGCATTTGTGAAAACAAGAAAGGCCACAAAGGTGGAAGAACAGCTTGCTGAAAGAAAGAGTTATTCTTGCAGTGATTCCTTTGTTTGTATATGTAAGAAAAGTTTTTAGAAGAAGTAGTTGAACATTACGTTATTAACTAGTTGTTAGAAAAGTTACAAATTTCTGTCTGATAGATGTTTTCAAGTAATGAGGCTGAAGTATTAGACACTATAAGAATATTGTGAGTGTTCTCCTCCAGGACTGCGGAAAGGCTAGCCTTGGTGCGGTAACAGCGTGCTCCTTCCTCTTCAGCACATGCGGGTAAAGCTCAAGAAGAGCGGACCGTCTCTCCTAGCCCACATGCTTGGCCCTCCGTGTAATGTTTCCTACGAGGGACAGCCCTGTGCTGCGCTGTGGGAGCCTCACAGGTGTGGCAGGAAGGGGAAGTTTTGCTCTGAGTTACGGCACTAACTGGGATGGCGATAGGACGAGCACCCTAAGTGGAGACAGTGTGAGAAGATGGATGAGAGGGGCCTGTGTGAGAAAGCAGACACAAGCCAGACATCCTTCTCCGTTTGATAAGAGTTGGACTTTTGAAAATACAGTCTAGTCCATTTGGCCAAAGACTCATTTAGTAAATTAGTCATAAATGCTCATTGACCTGTTAGGATCAGTGTATACTGTGTGCTGGGTGTTCAGTAATGACCCAAGCTGCATGTTTTCATGGAGCACAGGTTCTAACAGAGGATACCAGAAAAGTCAGCAAATACAATTCCAGGTAGTGATGGGTACTTTAAAGAAGATGAAGCAGAGTAAACAGACTATATCAGGTGTGAACCACTTAGAAGACAGAATCCGCACACAGTACTTCTAACAAAGAACGTTTAGGAGACCTGATAACTGTCGGGGGACTTGGAATAAGAAAAGCCAAAGGATATAGGAGTAGGTCAGTGGAGTAGCTATTCTTTGTTTTGTTTTTGGTACCAGGGATTGAACTCGTGTCCTTGCTCTTGCAAGGCAGTCCACCGAACTGCTGAGCTAAATCCCTGGCCCTAAGTAGCTATTCTTGATAGGACTGAGATGTGTCCGTGGCAGCCAACTCCTCCAGGATGAAGATCCTGGCCCTTGGAGAAAGTGTGGCCCTGTCTCACTGAACATGGAGCAGTCCTTCACAGCAGGGGCAAGCTGATGAGCTGGAGCCTTGTCCTGCCATCTGCTTACGTACTGTCCAGCTGCTTCTTGCTGCAAAGTGGAGTCAAGGCCTTAAAATCAGCAAGCCTAAGATAGGTGTCATTGGCCCATCAGTCAGTCCCCTCTTTAGAATACCCTAGTTGAGGAGATGTTTTGTAACAACACCTGGAACATCCTGAGATGGGAAGAGTGTGACAGGGAAAGTTGCCCTCTCCAGGCTGCTCATCACTTAGACATCACAAACATTGGGTGCCTGGTGACTTTTCGTGTGCAGGAGCCTCCAAGGGCACTGCCTGACCTAGAATACCGTCCTCCTATCTGTCCCTTCCCTCCAGGGTCCTCCACCTGCAACGCTTGACGTCAACGCAGTTAAAAAAAGAAAGACCATATTTAAGGGGCCCTGTTCTGTGCTTGTAGAATACATGGTAAATGAAATTTTGCACCAGTGAATTGATAATTGGTGCATAAATGAGTGGACATTGGATACTTCAGGCAGGGTGTGGAGGTGCCTTTCCAGGGGTGGTTGAGCAGGCCTGAGTGATGAGCCAGTGGGGCCCGGGTGGCACATGGGAAGAGCTGGCTGTGGTGCATTCAATGAAGCGAGGCCTCCAAGTGGTGGTAGAGTGAAACAAACCAGGGAGAAGATGATGGGTTTCCATTACCCTGTAGGTCACAGTGGGAGGTGTGACTAGGCAAGCTGCAGCAGTAGTGAGGACTGGCTGTTGGAGGAGGGCAGCAGAGCTGAGAATGACTCAGATTTGGCCGAAGCAGTGCAGAGTCTACTTGCTGAGATGGGGGAAGACTAGGAGGCTTGTTGGTTGGTGATACTGCTTGGCCACATTTTAAATTTGAAAGTAGAGGGGGATTTAGCTCAGTGGTTCCGCCACCTGCCTCCCAAGTGCAAGGTCCAAGTTCAATCCCCAGTACCCCAAAAAAAAAAGAAGGTAGAGTGTATCACTAGTATTACAGGTTGAGCAACCTTAATTGGAAATCCAAAATCCTCCAAATCCGAAACTTTTTATAGGTTTTTGAAATGAGGGCTGCTCAAATCAATAAAGTATATGCATTTGTTCCAAACATTTTTCTTTTCATTGAGTTTATTGGTACATTCTAAGTATACAATACAGTTACATTCATTACTGCGATCTTGTACCTTTACATGACAGGTCTTGGTTCTCATTTTTTTCCCCTTGTCCCTGCCCTCCCTTCACCCCCTCCGCCCCTCCCCCTATTTACAAAGACTTTGTT